TATTTAAGTTTAAGTGTTTAGCTTGTTAATTGTATTGTTAGATTGTTGTTGTTTGCACTATTCAAAGACACTGTTTATTAAACTGTGGCAATAGCAACGCTATAGTTAATTTCCATCATAGCTATAAGTTTCAGGCTCAGGATTTTTTTTTACTTTAAGCCCTGCTGCTGTTAGACCTACCGATTTTAACTTGAATGTTCATTGCATTTTTTGTAAACACCTGTGAAAATAATTTCTATTCCCATGACTTTTTTGTTCTCTGGGAAGTAATTTTTGATGATAAATACAGAAACAAGCATAAAAATCAAAACATCTACAATAGTGACAGTAATATTAATAATAAAATAATGGTCAGTGCAAAGTAGCCTGCAAATTCTTTGGTGGGGGGGTAGTGAGGGACCTGGATAAGGGCTAGGGGGGCGCTGGCCTAAAAAAGGTTGAGAAACACTGCTGTAGACGAACTTCCTTTTTCCTTGGAACTTTACTTTGCTGAAGTTCTCTGTCTGTATTCTGCACCTGGTCCTTCATGCGTTTCAAAATCCCACTTCCTGTTTCCACTGTACTGACTGCTTTCTCACCCACTCATTTCTATTTGTGACACAGTGAGACATTTCCATTTACGTGTAAACTATATTATGTTTTTTCCACTTCTTCTCTTAACTAAAATCATAAAAATAGAATCACTCATAACAGTATCTCTTTTGTCATTAAGAAAAGGATTACATGCATTTTAATCATCATTAATCATAATAACTTCATATTATATCAAAACAAGAATCAACATTAATCGTAATACAAGATTACTTATTCTTTCCAGGCTATTGTGATCTGTTTTCTGTGTGCTCCGGTAAGATCTCAACCAGTCCCAACCAGGTTTCACGACAAACCCCAACGTTGATTCAACATGTATGTCACTGACCACTTTCAGTTTTGTTTCAATGTCAGGCTTCAACGTAGATTCAATGTTTCTGCCTGACATTGTTTCATTGTTTCACTCATATTGTGCTAGCTGGGAAATTTTCATTTTTATTTCCACACCTCTTTGCATCTGCTTTTGAATGTCCCTATTACAGTAACTAAACACCATGATTTAAGTTTGCTTAAAGTTAATGCTAATTTGCTTCTATCAAATAATCTCTTTAATTTGCACATTTGCAATGTAATCAGCAGTAGCTCAGAAAAAAAAAAACATTCCTGTACTTAGCAAGCAAGACTAATTTAAATGTTCTTGATACCTTGCACACATATTTATGCAAAAGATCAACTGTTTTGGAACCAGCACTGACCCCTGAGAAACCCCAAAAGCAATGTCCAAACATGACAATATATACTCTCCCATCTTCACAAATTGTTTCCTGCCTCCAAAGTCACTTCTCACTCAGTACAATACTACTACCATGATACCATACATTCCAATTTATTGATTAATATTTTTATGATTAATTGCGCCAAAAGCTTGTTTAAGATCAATGAAAGTTCCTACTACACAATTTATGGTCTCTTGCTTTTGGGATTTTCTCAGTTGATTCAATTATTGCCAATAATGTTGAACTGTTTGATCTGAATTTGTGTTGACTGTCCGGAAAGTAATTTACATTTTTCTAAGAATTCATCTTATTATTGAATAGTTCTTTTAGTACGTTGGCTGGAGATAGGCACCAGCAACCCTCCCGACCCTTCTAAGGGACAAGGGTGTGAAAAAATGGATGGATGGATGGATGGAGTTCTTCAAGTATTGTGGAGAACTGTGGATGTAAAATAACTTGTCTGTCCCCAGTCTTACGCAGCAGCACAACTTTAGCTATTTTCAGTGAATTCATGTATAAACTTCAAACCCGAGTATTTAACGTGGTTAAAGTGAGCTTCGTCATTTCAATTCTGAGTTATTAGCTGTAAGCCCAAACTACTGGCATCACCAAAAATAAAAATGGTTTCATAAGACATTGTACAGTCATTTCACACATTTTAAAACAGTTGTGGTTAAAACATTTAATTTTTAACAAAAAGATTTCTTAAAGTCTACACATTGAGATGCATTGCATCTCCATATAATTTATATAATGCCCCAATGTCCAGTAATAAGGTTTCTGTGGAAGAAGCTGTGGATCTGCTGGGCGCTCCCCTCGCCCACTATGGGCTCTAGCTCAGCAGGAGATGCGTTGGAGATCTCCTTGAGACTGGAAAAATTCTGCATCAGCGTCAAAGCTTTGACCCTGCCAACCCCAGGGATCTGCTGGACTGAAATCACGGTCACTGAGTCCAACAGCTGACCTGAAGTCTTCCGCCTAAAAGGATTGTCTCTGCCCTCTCCGTGGACCTAAAGATAAATGATAATACATTTTATTTGTAAAGCGCTTTGGTAAAAACTCAAAGACACTTTACAGGAACACTGTAGTTAGTACAGGACGTCATGTAAGCACAGCAAAAGAGAGCTTGAGTTACTATGTGTATACACAAGATAGTTTCAAGTTAATAAAAACGACACCCACATGCTACACATATTTAGACATGTGTAGCATGTGGGTGTCGTTTTTGTTAACTCATGAGTTTTATTAACACTACACGCTGCGTAGGGTGCATGAAGTCAGTGTAGCTTAGCCTAGCACCGAATGTCACCCATGACAAGGAACGGCGGGCGGGACTTCCTTCAGAGGTCCGCTCACCCTGTGGGCCGCACTATTATACTTTGATATCACAGTGGGGGCCACGAGACATCGTCACGCAGGCCGCAATTGGCCAGCAAGTCGCGAGAATGACACCTCTGCTGTAAATTGTTCATAATTTCCTTGTGAAACAGAAATATTTAGACATGTGTAGCATGTGGATGTCGTTTTTATTAACTTGAAACTATCTTGTGTATACACATAGTAACTCAAGTTCTCTTTTGCTGTGCTTACATGACGTCCTGTACTACAGTGTTCCCAGGGGCGCAGTAAAGGGGTGAGAAGTGATGACGATTCTAGGGGCCCTGACCAGCAGGGGGCCCTCCACAATTTAATTATTCATATTTTGTTTATAGACATAAAATAAAAAAATTGGGGTCCAGTCAAATATAAAATGAATCATATTCAAAGATTCAAAGATTGTCTTTAGCAGTAAAAATTTAATGTTACCCCTCGCAGACCAAAAAACACACCTCCGTTTTTGCCCTGAACTCCCCCCTGAATCTGCATGAAATGGTACGTTCCTGCTTGGAGCTAACAGTGATGTGTGCAGCTGCAGTCAGTAGAAGCTGCAGCTGAATGCAGCGGCGACTGTGGCATTTACTATGCTGCTAAGAAAAGTTATAAAATCAGGTTTTCAAAAACAAAATAGAGAGAGGGAGAGAGAGACAAAGGCAAGAGTGTTAATTTATAACCCAGTTTTTCTCCAAGAGAGGTGGGTAGACTGTGAGATTATCAACCATTTAGCCGAGTTAGCTTCGCTACAAACTACTGTTTGCCTCCATTTCACTAGCATTTAATGAATTAAGGAAAAAAAATACCAACATATTCATATATTTAACTTGTTCCCTGTGCCTTTTACCACTTAACAGAAGAGTGAGTGAGCAGAAGCTCTAAACACGTCCCTCCTGATCTGTCCTCTCCTGAGTGAAATTAAAGCTGTAGTATGTAACTTTTTTATAATATTTTTTTCACATATTTTTTAAAACTGTCATTATACTGTGACAGCATGGTATGAGAGGTAATCTGTGAAAAATCTATTTCCTCTGCCTTCTCCCAGTGCTAGAAACAACCAGTCAGTGGCAGGAGAGTTTTAGTGCTGTCAATCACAATCTCATGTAGTGCTGCAAACAAATGCTTAAATTCTTTGTCAGGGGGCCCACGATTTCTGGCAGCACCCCTGAATACGCTTGTAACAATAGTGCAGCGGATGATGGAACAGTCCGGTACCAGTTGCCCTTCCCTGCAGTCGCCATTCCGGTACTTTCTACCATTAACAAATGCCACGATCAAACACAGAGAAAGGCGACTGCTATCAGGATGTTCGTCATCCACCGTGCTGTTGTGACAAGTAGAAGCGGTAATGACATCACGCGTCAAGACACTCTCCATACGTTGCTAGCTGGCTAAAGACTTCTATAAAACGTAGAACAAGAACGACACCAAGTAGAATAAACTTAGGGTGCATTCACACTGCAGCCTGAAGTGACCCAATTCCGATTTTTTTGCAGTAATGCGATCTGTATTTGATCTTTTCATGACAGTCTGATCAGCACAGGTCGAACCCTTTTCGAATGCGACCCATATCCGATATGTATCCGATTCAGATGAATGCGGCCTGGACGTTAGGTCGCAACCCAGGCCGCATTCATC